TAATTCTTATCGAAATTATAAAAAAAATTAAAATTCAATAAAATAATCGAAAAAAATGAGCTTCTTAAGAGAAATTAGTATCAATAATTTTGTATTTTTTTAAAAAAAAACTCTAAAGGCAGAATAAAGTAAAAGCTAATATGGTTTCTTCTCTTTGGGAAAAATAGTAAAACGTTGAACAATTTTTTTTTATACTGTATAAATTATATAAATTTTACGAATCTGTAGATTTCAAATGAAATTAAGTTCATCGAATTTGACTTGGTTGTTGTCGAGATATCTTCGTTCAAAATTTTAAAAAGACCCAAAACGTCTATCAAAATAAAAACTGTCAAAATTTACACATACTTTGAGCGAAGATATTTCGACACCCACCAAGTCAGGGTTGATGAATTTTTTTATTTTATTTGAATTATATGAATCTGTAGAATTCAAATAAAAAAATTATCGAATTAACTTAAAACTTAAAACGTCTATCAAATTAAAAGCTACACCAAAATTCTCTCAAACTTTGGGTAAGGAATCTCGACAACCACCAAGTCAAATTTGAACCTTTTTTATTTGATTTCCTAAGAATCTGTAGAATTCAAAGTTTATCAAATTTGGCATGGTGGTTATCAAGATATCTTCGTTCAAAGTTTTAATAACTCGGATATCTATCAAAATAAAAGCTGCATTTCTCAAACTTTAGGCGAAGATACCTCGAGAATCACAAAATCAAGTTCGAGGAATTTTTTTTTTTTTATTTGAATTCTACAAATTTGTAGAATTCAAATAAAAATGTTTATCAAATTTGACTTGGTCATTATCAAGATATCTTTTTTCAAATAAATTTTTTTACTTAAATTACTTAAATTACTTTTTACAGCAATACAAACATAATCTAAGAGAGGTTTCGAATTCGATTAACAAGATTGACATTAACTGTCAATTTGATTTATATTGTTCATTTAATAATAATTAAAAGATTATCGCAGAAACTTTAGCTTTTATTATAGCTTTTATATATGCATGTAAAATGCATATGCTTAAATTTGATAACATATATACATTCTTGAATATTAATATTTTAATAATACCATTTATGATTCAGATTTTGGAAAGAAACTAGTAATTTTAGCAGAACCTTCCGCCTTATCTTTTGATTTTTGCTTCTTTTTTTGTACAGTACCTCTCTGTGCAGAAACATTAGTTGTCTTTGCCTTATTTTTCTTGGTTGAGTTTGGCTTTTGTGCAGTAAAATTTAATGATGATTTTTTTTGAGATATCGTACTTGAAGATGGTGCTTGTAACTGTTCCGTATCCGAGTCTTCGTTATTGAATGATTTTTCATCAGGTGAAGGTGGAATTTTACGTGATCGCTTTAGATCATTTCCTTCATTCGATGTAAAATCTTCTTTTATATCATCTTTCAAGTCATCTAATGAACGTTTAGCTGGTATTGAATCATTAGATGTTGATTCTTTTATATCATCATCCTCCTCCTTTTGATTGATTACTGATTTTGACTTTTTGTCTTTTATTTCATCTTTTTTCCCCGAAAAAAAACTTGTAATGTTGGTTTTTGTAATAGGATTTATTAAACTCGGATAATCATTGCTCACATTTCCTACATCCTGTGAAACAGGATAGCTGAAATAATATAAAAAAAATTAACGAAAATAATTAGTGCTAAATCAGTAATACATTTTATGGATAAAGAATGATTAAATTATTACAACCATTCTAATTCCCCTTCGTAAGGCTTTAAAAGTTCTTCAAATTCGGAACACCAACGAATATTAGGATCCATCCATTTTGATAAACAATCAGAATCATTTTCTAAGATCACAGGCATTCGATCATGAACGAATGATAGGAAATCGGAAGATGAGGTCGTAATAATTGTGTATGTATAAAGAGTATCACCATCTGGATAAAAAAAATTAAATTATTTAAAATTAAAGTTACGTTTACTTTTAAAATTTACCATGCTTATATTTACTGTAAGCTTACTTTCTAATTGAACTTTATCGTAAAGCCCTGCAAAAAGAAGTAGCTTTTCATCTTTTCTTTTGATAAGATAAGGTGTTTTCTTCTTCTTGTGTTCACGAGACCATTCATAGAATCTAAAAGAATAAATCATTTGAAATTATTACATTAAAAAAATAATAAAGCGATTACGAATATTAGTAATATATTCAAATAGACAAACCCTTGAGCGACAACAATACATCGACTTTTATTCTTTAAAGGTTTAAACATTGGTTTTCCGCTTATTTCAAATAATGAATCATCTCGACAATTGATTGATTGTGTCGAAGTAGGGGATTTAGATTTGTCCTTTGCCCATGATGGAACTAATCCCCATCTCTATTAAACCAATGATTAAAACAAGTTATTAAAATAAATATGATAGCCAAAAAATTACGTACATACGTACCATAGAATGAATAATATTTTCATGTGACTCAGAGTCTGTACGAACAACAGGCTCATAATAAGTTGGAGCAACATTAAATCTAAAAACGAAGCATGCGTTAATTCTGTCACTTTGGCATTTTAAAATAAATGATTTTTTTTTGAAAACAAAAAAATCTTACGATGGCTTATATTTCCCCTGATCAACCCATTTCGTACAATTTAGGTTGGAACTTACTAAAGTTTGTTGGACAACGTCTGGCGCCTATTTGTCATTCATTAGTGACTAATAACATTATTTTATTAAAGTACCAAGAATGAGGCTTTACCAAATGCAACAAAGTTCTACCACACATCTTTAAAATATGATCATGAAAATTCGGAAAAAGAGTGATAGCCTTTGCGAAAAAAAAAATGAAATGAATTAAGCGTTATTTATACGTCACAATTCTGCTTTAAGTAAAAATGATGAACACCTGCATGTGGATTTATTTTAATTGGTTGTAATTATTCAGCGTGATCACAAATTACGTATTGACTTTAAGTAAGGTGTAACGTAAAAAACAATTGCTTTTTTTGCACTAACAACAAGTTGGCGTCATATAAATTTCGGACTTTAAAAATTACATCTTAAAAAAATAAAATAAATTCCTTACAAATTTTACCCTTATCACTAACTCCGTCCAAATGCATTCCGTCAATAAAAAATTTAAGATTAATAAAATGTGAGGGACATGTGAGGTCAATTAATATTTTTTATGATTACTAATCATTTGCGGACTTTAAATACTAATTTGACCTCACGTTGGAGCCAACCTCATGTTGGTCCCTCACAATTAAATAACAATAATGATAATGTAAAATGCAATATAAGTGTACCTCCTTGATTTATACATCTCTTGATTGCACCAGATGGTGTTTCAAGGCCATCGGATGTGGTATTTTGTAAGAAACTTGGTGCTCATATCAGGGTTTAGCCCAGGATAACTAATAGTTATTGGGTAGAATGTAGATAACATTGTGTCCGCATCAGCATCATTTAGCGGTGGCATAATCTGAGCTAACAAATGGCCGCTAAATGATGCTGACACAATGTTATCTACATTCTACCCGATAACTATTAATTAGACGGCTAGACAAAGCAACATTATCCTAACTCATCATTGTTTGACGGAATATTTTAACGAAACATTTAGGGAACTTACACTTATTACGTAAATATATCCCAAATCATTTGACAATTATAAGTTCTAAAATAATCAATCGTTTGACAATTACAAGTTCTAAAGTAATCGAATTTGTAATTGTCAAACGATTGTGTCAAATGACTGACTCTGGGGCTATATTTACGTAATAAGTGTAAGTTCCCTTAATGGAATATTGATATGTATAATAATTCATATTTCTGTCTTGTTATACTAAATGCTCATTAAATGACCCCTTTACATGCAAACCAATATTTATTAAATAGCTATAAACCTTTAAGATCATTTTTTATTATAAATATATTACAATTGAAATCTAAACTTTTTTTATTTGTGCTTGTTTTCTTACCCCAACGATGGAACGGCATTTTATACTTTAATGGGGTTTAGAGACATTTCGATCAAAATTGAGAATAAATTCTGAAATTATAGGCATTTCCAATTTTTTTTATGTTTTTCCTGATCGTGTTACGGTACACGAAAATTATGGTTCGTCATTGGCTGGAGAGATATATTTCCCGCGTTGCCATTTTTAAATATGTGATTTATTCACAGCCCATACCGATACTAGCATAATAAATTTTGTACAATTTTAATTGATTAAATATTGATATCTACAAATAAAAAATTCGTCTCGAATTCTGTGTACTGACTCATATAGTTCGTTGAAAACTCAACCAGACTCATAATTCGTAGAAAATCCTCGATTTATAATGTTTGTAGTGCGATAATTTATGGACTTTTTATATATGGCTAATTTTTGTTACCCAATGATCTATAAAAGTAAATCACATGACATGGTCATCAAAACATTTATTTGAGTTTACTTAATTTACTCTTCCAACAATTTGTAATTCAAACCGAAAAATGTCAGATTATATTACCTGGCCTTCTCTTTATTGGCCTTTTGATAATTTAACTTATTTATACCAAGCAAGTGGTTAGTTTTTTTTTTTGATTGTTTTGTTTTGCCCGTTCGCTGCATTCATTTATAAGGTTAATGAAAAATTCGTAAATGTACTGTAGATATTTGGAAATTTACTACCATTTGGACATTAATATTTTTTACATCCATATATGGTCTTGCAGGATTATGGACTTGGGTTGTCTTTCGTAAATATAGATGGTCATTTTTATTTCCAATAGGGTTCATTATTATAGCACTGTTAACAGGATTTATTAACAGCGCAATAATCGGTAAGTATATTGACTGGACAAAAAGCATTCGGTACTATGAAATCGTGATAAAAGTATATAAAAGAAAAAATATATATTATAATAAATGAGGATATTCCAATACATAAATGAACGGCACATTGGTTTTATAAATGTGATGAGTCTAAAATTATACAATAACTAGAATTCCGCAAATGTCAAAAATGGTATTATTAAAATATAGTGATTAACCCCGTGCTCAGCACTTGCAGAAATGATAGATTAGCTTTATAATATTTTTGGAAACAAAGGACCCAATATGAATGAATGAGGATTTAACAGTTTATCGCATTATTAATCACGAAGTGATATTAATAAGTTACCTCTTTTTCGGCAAACGTTAATAAATTTAAACCAATCATGATTTTATAATGGTCTAATACTTTTTGCCCAATCAATGTATCTCTCAATTCTTGATAGTTTATCTCTAATTATTAATAATTAATATAATTTATATAAACAATCCTGTTTTAAGGTTTTATTTTGGCTGGAATATACGATATTGGTGAATTTTCTATGTCAATCTGGATTCCATTTCTTTGGGGTTTAATTCAAGCGTTTTTGCTTTTGATAAGTTGCTTCTCAACTTTTACATCAATTTTATGAGTATCGATCCTATTTCGCAAAAAAAAAAAAAATTAATTTATTTTACTCTTAATTGTAATTTTAAAATATCACACACTCATCTATGAGTTTCCATATCTCATCAACATGAATCATATTAAGATTATCACTCCAGAGATGAATAATTGAAATAATTATATGCACTGAAAAAACTTTGATAATTCATCTAATATTAATCTGATTATCAGAAATCCATATCCTGGGGAATTTACATATAAGGGCCTAAAGGGAAAATAATTACATATAAGGGCCAAAATTTTGAAAAATATTACAATCAAGGGTCCGAATTTATCATAAGATCACAAATTTTTAGCTTATGAAATTATATAAATGTAATTTTCTTTTGACATTTAAACGTATTACTTTTTAATCAGTGTTGCATTTATTCTCTTAGCGCCTTTCATGTAAAAATTATAACCACTTTTGCCGATTTTAAATTTCTCTACGAATAAGAATGAGCTTCTTCGGTTCTAAATATTTTAGATTAATGCATAGTAACCTTCACAAAATATTGATTCACTTGTTTGGTATAGCGATAGAATAAACATATTAGTTTAGAGCCGAATAAACATTACAATATCAATATATATCGTATTTAACCTAGTCGAATTGTTTCTTGGTTAAAAGAAAGTTTATTAGGCGAAAGGTAAAGTATAAAATGTTTAAATCAATCTATATTTACAGTTATAACGTTCGAAGAACCACTATCATCATAGCGTAAAGTTATTTTGGCCCTTAAATTATAAAATAGTTCAAAAATTTGGATATTTATATGTAATTATTTTCACTTTGGATCCTTATTTGTAATTATTTTCACTTTGGGTCCTTATTTGTAATTATTTTCATTTTTCGGGCCCTTATATGTAAATTCTCCTAAAATTATTGCAGATGTTATTCTAATGTTACTTTCGCAATTCGAGATTTTTAAAAAAGGATTTATAGAATCTTGCTAGATTTAGAATTAACATAAATTGATTCTAAATACACTCAAGTTGAAATCAAAATTTTAAAAATTCACCCAAATCGTTAAAAAATTTTAAACTGATTTAAAGCTAATTCTGAATCTACTTAGTGCATATTCAATTTAAAAATTAAAAGCGTTTGAATTCAATTTAAACAGCAATATCCTCAAGGCAGTTTTGCCTTTTTACAGCGATTTATATTACTAATTGTGTTTGTGAATTTAGTTCATATATAACGGATATAATTAAAATTTCCGTCTCTGAACTAATTAAAGAATTTATTAGTGGTTTTTGCTGCAATTGGATTGAAAAACTTCGTCTTGCTTGCGAAGTCGTTCAATTTCTTTAACAAATAATTGCGAAATGTAAAGTATTACTCCGAAATCTATCAATAAATTAAACTTTTAAAGGTTGAATTTAAACACATACCGCACCCCATAGTTTTGAAGAACCATCATCCCTGCAATGTACAGTATATCATATTCTTTCGACAGAACATACCGGAAAATTTGATTCAACTTTAATAACACAGGATTTGTCAATATTCCAAGACTTCATTAGCTGAATGTTTTGCCCTAATAATGATTATAACGGTTTCAATAGTGGTACTTAATTGATACTGAAGAATTGTAATACAGCAATCATAATCTTGAGTAATGAAATAAAGGTTTTACGACGTCAACTAACAGATTTCAATCGATAAATTTAGTGAGTTTTCAAATGCATTGTGAGATAAAAATGAATATACTTGTAACTTTGTCATTTTAAAAAAATTACAGTCTAGAGCGATTTGACAAATAAGAATTTATTGATTTGATTATAAATAAATGTCGCGGCTGATGCTGAAATTGGCTGATGCTGAAATTTTGACTTATTTTATTATGAAATTTTACAAAATTTTCAGGCCTTTTCGTTAGGGGTTTTTTTTTGGTGTTAGGTTAGGGTTTGAGGGTAGAGTTGTTAGTAAAAAAGTATATGTGAATTTTAGTAGGTATTATAGGTTTAAATTGGGACCCTAAATTTCAGCATCAGCCAATTTCAGCATCAGCCGCGACAATAAATTTTAAGTTAATCCACTTATTAAGTGGATTTTGAATTCTCTAGTCAATTTAAAATCCGTTAATTCCGTTTGTAACACAAAGCTGATTCAGGAATCCCATATCGGCTGATTTTTGGGCCTTTTTAGACCAAAAGTTATTGCTTCTAAGTAATGTCGAAAAAGTAACAAACGAGCACTCATACAATAATTAAAGTGCCTAGACAAGATAAAAAAAAAAATAAAAAAATCGAATAAAACAGCTATACTAAGTTGTAAAAACATACTTTTACTGTTGTTGATATCGAGTATTT